TTAACCTCTCTCCGTTAAGAATGATGTTGCCTCTCGGGTTTGCATAAATACTTTTTACTATGTTGAAGAAATTCCCCTCTAATCCTATTTTGTTTGTTTTCATCAGGAAAGGTTGCTGGATTTTGTCAAAGGCCTTTTCTGCATCAATTGATAGGATCATGTGGTTCTTTTTCTTTTCTTTGTTAATGTGATGAATTACATTGATTTTTTTCCCCCCTTATGTTGAACCACCCTTGCATACCTGTTATAAATCCCACTTGGTCATGATGGATTATTTCTTTGATGTATCGTTAGTTGTTCTTTTGACAGTGTATGGTATATTAAGTTCTCTTCACCATCATCACAATTCAGAGGGATCAGTTCTTTGGTCTTCCATATTAATTGTCTCACTTTCAGATGATGCACAGGAAGAAATTGAAAATACTATGACTTGTTTTAGGCACAGTTTAGTCCTTAAACTGACATGATTGCTCTTTGGAGAGGTCCATGACAGGAGTTATCTAATGAAGTGTGCCTTTTGATTTTCTGAACTGATAATACCAGTGAGTATTGTGGCTACTTGGTTGTGGATCCAAGTAAAATGAAATTCTTGACAACTTAATTTTTCTCCCATCTGTCATAATGCTGTCTGCTGGTCCTTGTATGAGGATTTCTGCTTCCTTGATTTTGAACTGCTATCCATATTGAAAGCTGTAGTCTTTGATCTTCTTCCTGAGTGCTTCATATTTTTCTTCCTTTTTTGCAGGCAACGTTGTCCCATCTTCATATCTCAGGTTGTTGATTAATCTCTTCCAATCTTGATACAGCTGTCTTCTTCATGTTGCTGGGTATCACTGAATTAGAACTTACCCATAGCTGACCTCTCCAGTGGGTTTTCAGAGATAGTAAATCCCATGGGAGGACATTGCCCATCCTTCTCCAATGGAGCAACTGGTCGATTCAAACTAAATGCCTTTAAATTGCTATATAGCTTCTTACCCCTAGGTTCCCTAATCACCAGAGGTCCCTAACTCCTTCAACTCTTTAAATGATTTGCTCAGCGTACATGATGCAAGGATTCTAGCGAAAGGGTTTGCCCTTGGAACATACCTTTCTTAATTTTGACCTATGCAGTATCTCCTTGTTCAGTGTGAATAATTTTCCTTGGTCTATATACAGGTTTTACATGAGTGTTGTGGGTTTCCTATTCTCCTCAATGTTATAAAAAATTTATTATGGGGAAAAAATTACTATGATCCACTCAATCAAATGCCTTAAAATAGTCAGAAGAACATGAATAAACATCTTTTTGGCATTCCATGCTTTCAACCAAGATCCATCCATCATCAGCAGTGATGTTCTTTTTGTTGTGATCTCATCTGAAACTAGCTTGAATTTCTGGCTGTTCAGTGTTAATATAATGTCCCAGCCATTTAAAAAATAATCTTAAGCAAAATTTTCCTTGTATGTCATATTAAAGATATGGTTGGATGATTTCCATGTTCAGTTGGATCACTTTCTTTGGGAATGGGAGCAAATTTAAATCTCTACAGTCAGTTGACCAGGTAGCTATCTTCAGTATTTGTTGACAGAGACATTCAGGGTTGCATCTGTTTCCTGAAATACCACCATTAGTATTCCATCAATTCCTAGAGATAATAATTTTTAACTAATGACTTCAGTGCTATACCTTCTTGAACATTTGCTGCTTCCTTGAATTTCTCAGAGTCAACTATTTCTTGTGGCGTAGTGACGTGTTTTCTTTCTGTCTTCTCTTGGTTGCTTCCTGCATCATTCAGTATTTTGCCCTTTGAATATTGCAAATCCAGGCTTAGATATTTTTCTTTCAACTTTTAAGAAATGCTGAGTGTGTTCTTCCCTTTTGGTTTTCTAGTTTTCTACCAGGTCTTTGCTCATTTTATTATAGTACTTTACATTGTCTTCCAGAACTGCCTTTTAAAAAAATCTGTTTGGCCATCTTAGTTTATCATTTCTACCAAAAGGTAGAACTAAAGCATAAGCTTTAGTTTCTTGTCATTGAAGAGCAGGTTTCAGAGTCTTCTGATGACAGTTTTGATGTTTTCTTTCTTTCTTGTCTTTTAATGACCTTTTACTTTCTGATATTCTTGATGATATTCTTGCTGTCACTCAATAATTGTTTGGTCTTTGCTTGTTAGTGTTGAATACATATAATCTGTTCTTAGGTTGGCTTTTAAAATCAGGTGGAATAAACTCAAGGTCATATTTTGGCTCTTATGAATTTGTTTAAATCTTCTTCAGCTTCAATTTGAACTTCCCATATGAGTAATTGATGGTCTTTTCCATAAACATCCCCTGGTGTTATGTTGACTACTGATATTGAGCTTTTTCACTAACTCTTTCCACAGAGGTGGTCAGTTTGATTCCTGTGCATTCTATCAATCTGGGTCCATGTGTATTATCACCATTAATTTTTAAAAGTTAAAGGTATTTTCAGTGAATAAATAATTGTCCAAAATTCTGTCATGATCTCCACAATCATATCTTTCTCCAAGGCAATATTTTCCGACTCCCAGGCCTTCTTTGTTTCCAGCCTTTGCAATCCAGTCACCAGTTATTATTAATGCTTATGATTGTATGTTTGATCTGTTTTAGACTACAGTAGTTGGTAGTAAGCCTGAATTTCTTCATCCTTGGCTTTAGTGGTTGATGGGATGTTTGAATAATAATTGTATTAACAGATCTTCCTTGTATGCATATGGACGTCATCCTATTACTGATAGCACTGCACATTAGGATAGATCTTGAAATGCTCTTTTTGATGACAAAGGCAACGCTATTCCACTTTAGTGTATCATTTCCAGCATAGTAAATCATGTAAAATTGTCTGATTCAAAATGACCTCTGTCCATCCATCTCAGTTTACTAATGCCTACGATGTCAGTCTTTGTGTGTTCATTTCACTTTTTAAAATTTCCAGTTTTTCTAGATTGCTATTTTGTACAGTCCTTGTTCCAGTTATTTGTGGATTATTCCGTGCTCCAGTTTGGAGCTGTTTCTCTCATTTTGAGTCTTGCCACATCAGCTAATGAAGGTCTTCATTGGGTGAAAGCTTTGCTTCATCTTCATCATTAAGGAAACTCAACTTTGGAGATGCAGTTCATTCCAGTCACATTTTGGATCTCAGTTTTCAGCACTGTATTGAAAATGTTCTGCTGGTTTTGGAGACATATTATTTCAAGGATGGATAGCCAGTTTTTCTGCTTAGTTTTTCTTAGTCTAGTAGTTCTGCTGAAACCTTTCCACCACGGGTGACCCTGGTGCCACCTGTTTGTATTTGAAGTACCAGTTGCATAAATTCTGGCATCACAACAATGTGCAAACTACCTCTGTAAGACAGACTGACAGATGAGGCATGGATGTTTACAGAGATAATGAAATGCACTCTGAATATATATTTGGCCAAAAATTACTATATAATTAAATTTTAGGGATTCAGATGAGCAGGAAATATATCATCTCTCATAATACATATCAATAGAAAATGTTTGAAAATGTGAAAAAAGAAAGCTTTGGCATACTGTATAGATGGTGCATAAGAAAATTTGACCTAGAATATGACTATCTGTATTACTTTTATACAGATACACATTATATGATGGTCAGAGAATTGTTGTTGTAGGTGCTGTCTAGTTGACTATGACTCTTAGCAACTCCATGAACAGCCGACTTGAACCTTGCCCTATCCTGCCTCATTCTCATGATCTCTGCTATACTTGAGCTCATTGGTACATTAACTGTGTTGATCCACCTTTTTGAGGGCCTTCCTCCTCTTCTCTGACCTTTCACCTAGAACTGGAAATTTTGAGAATAAAAGGACTTTTAGCTGTGAGCAGTACTTCTAATGTGCCTTTGAAAGCTCTACTCTCTGAAACAGCAGCACTATACAATATAATCCAAATCATAATTATTTTTTACAAGACACAATAAAAAAGAAAATGAAACAGGTACAATTAATATTAATGATATCCTTAACTCAGTGTAACATAGACAGTACAGATTACCTGGTGTTTTTAAGAGAGATGAATATTTTTTGTGTTATTTATTTAGTTGGCTAGTAAAATACAAGATAGTCTTTGGATTTAATATATTTTAGGAACCTACTGGAGACTTTCTTCTTAACGTGAGCTTTTCATTGTTATTTTTTATTCATGCCAAGTAAAAAAATTCTAAACAAGTTTTCTTCTAAATACTGATAAATTATAAAAAAAAATCTCATGTTTTATATTTTGACCATTTTAAAATGCTTTCCCCTCCTTATCTTTTAATAGGTGCCAACAATACTGAATTCTCTCCAGAGAAGTGTACAAGCAGTTTTGGTGGGAAAAATTCAAATTCAGGACTGGTTTAGCAATGGCATTAAGAAAGCAGCTTTGATGCACAAGTGGCCATTAAAAGAAATATCTGTTGATGAAGATGATCAATGCCTGCTTCAAAATGATGGATTTTTTCTTTATCTCTTATGCAAAGATGGCTTATACAAAATAGGCTCTGGATACAGTGGAACAGTTAGGGTAATGTTATTGCTTAACATTCTTTCTTGTAGCAGAAGTTAAATCCATAATTACTTGTTGGTAGCTTATTTTAGTATACCATTTAATTTTTATATAATAGTAATTCTTTAAAAGTCTTAATTGAAATTGGCAAAGTAAATGTTCTTCAACCTTTTATATACTTTTCGTGACTTGTAAATATGAAACTATTGACAGACTAAATGTTTGTTATTTTGCAGGGCCATATATACAATTCTACATCCCGCATCAGAAACAGAAAAGAAAAAAAGTCTTGGTTAGGGTATGCTCAGGTAGGAGAATATCCATAATAAAAAGAAAAAGCTTTCTTAAATTTTAAAAACATATGCTTTGTATTTGTTTTAATTTGTCACTATGTGTGCCTGTGTGTGTGTGTATATATGTGTGCACGTGAAAACACACACATAGACATGTTATATGTTGATATGTTTGTGTATTTATGATATTGTACAATTAATGATGTATTCATTGTAAATATTATTTTTTAAAAAGTGTAAACATTGATTGTATACATGAACTCCATCTAACTACAGGAACCAGATAGACTACATCTGTAGAAAGAGCCAATGGAGATTTCCACTCTTAGCAGTAAAAACAATTCCAGAGGCAGACGAGAGAATAGAAAGACTATCAGCTACTCATGTGCAGTTTCAAATTGAAGTTAAATAAAATGAAATCCAGTCCAGGAAAAAGAAACTTTGTATCTCATTTGAATTATTAACCATACCAAGAGTGTATTTGATGCATTGAACCCAAAATTGCCAAAGACTAGATGAGTTGTGGGATATTATGAAAGATACAACCGTGAAGAAAACAGTAGGTCTTTATGCAGACCAAAATGGATGTCAGAAGCTACTGGAAATTGTGCTGAACCCAGAGAAACCAAAACAAAGGCAAGAAATGCTGAAGTAAAAGAGTTGAGCAAAAGATTCCAAAGAGTACTTGAGAAGACAAAGCAAGGCATTTTACCAAATGTGCAAAGAGCTATTGGTAGAAAACCAAAGGAGAACACACACTTAGCATTTCTCAAGCTGAAAAGACTGAAGAACCAATCCAAGCCTTGAGTTGCAATCTTGAAAGATTCTGTGGGCAAAATCTTAAATGCCCTAAGAAGTATCAAAATAAGAAGGAAGAAATACAGAACCGCTGAAGGAAATTTTTCAAGCTGCAGTTAAGGCATTATTGTTGTTGTTATTTTGAGCCATCAAGTCGGAAGTGATGCACAGTTGACTTGCCAGCAGGTTTTCAGTGGTAGTTAATCACACAAGAGCAGATTGCTCTTCCTTCTCCCGTGGAGCAGCTCGTGGATCTGAACTGTGTGCCTCGAGGTGTGTAACACAGCTTTCTGCCACTAGGCCACCAGAACTCTTAATTCAGTTAAGATATCAGTAGAAAATAAAAAGTAAGGGCCTCAGGAATTGATGGAATACCAGTTGAGGTTTTTCAACATACTCATGCAGCCCTGGACATGCTTATTAACCTTTGTCAACAAATATAGAGGACAGCTGTCTGGCCAACTGTGACTAGAAGAGATCCATGTTTGTTAGTCCAAAAAAAGGTCATACACTAAAATGTTTAAATTACCAAACAGAATCATTAATACCATGTCCAAGTAAAATCTTAATGAAAAATATTCAGAAAGGGCTGGAAGAGTACATAGACAGGGAACTAATGGAAATATAAGCTGAGTCTGAGTTTAGACTAGGTCGTAGCATGAGGTGTATCTTTGCTGATGTCAGGTGAATCTTGTTTGAAAGCAGAAAACCCTAGAAAAATGTTTGCTTGCATTTTATTGACTGTGCAAAGGTGCAAAGGTGTTTGACTGTGTGGATCATAACAAATTATGAATAACATTGAGAATAAGAATCCCAGAACACTTAACTATACTCCTATGAAATCTATGCATAAACCAAGAAGTCATTATCAGAATAGAACAAGGGTGCACTGCTTGGTTTAAGAAAAAGAAAGGTGTGCATTAGTCTTTTATCCTTTTCTCCATACCTGTTCAGGCTGTATACTGAGCAGATCATTGAAGAAACAGGACTGTGTGAGGAAGGGTATAGCATCAGAATTGGAGGAAGATTCATCAACAACCTGCGTTATGCAAATAACACAACCTTGCTTGCTGAAAGTGAAGAGGACTTGTAGTATTTGCTGCCAGAGATAAAAGATTGTACAACCGTTAGGATGTAAACATAAGAAACAAAAAATCCTCACTACTGGACCATAATAGATGGAGAAAAGATTGAAGTTGTCAACGATTTATTTCTGCTTGGAACCACCATCATCACAAGCAGTCATAAAATCAAAAGTACCAAGCAGTCATAAAATCAAAAGTCTTGTTGAATTGGGCAGATCTGTTAAGAATCTCTCTAAAGTGCTAAATAACAGTGATAGCAGCTTAAAGACAGTAGTGTGCTAGACCCAAGCTACCATATTTCCAGTTGCTTCCTATGAATCTGAAATTTGTACAGTGACTAAGGATGACAGAAGAATTGATGCCTTTGAATTTTTATGTTTGAGGAGACAACTGAGTATGCCATGAACTGCCAAAAGGGTGAGCAAATAAGTCTGTCTTGAAGGAGGTACAAGGGTGCTCCTCATAGGCAAGGATAGTGAAACTTGATCTCACATATGTTAGCCAAGCTGTCAGGAGAGTCCAGTCCTTGCACAGACATTATGCTGGACTAGGTGGAGAGTGAAAGAGAGAAAGACTCTTAATGGGATGAATTGAAACATGATTCTAACACTGGGCTCAGTCATTATCAGAAATCAAGAGAATATTGCAAGATTTATATCTCTGTTCATAGGTTTATAGAATTGTAGTTGGCCATAGGGCAGATGACAACAGTGTGTGTGTGTGTGTGTGAGAGAGAGAGAGAGAGAGAGAGTGTGTGTGTGTATAACATAGATACCAACAGACACACACACACACACACACACACATATACTGAGTATATATAGAGTATAGCTATTCAAAAATATTTTTTAAAAATTGCCCTCCATAATGTTTTCAAAGTTGTCTTCAGATGATGTTCTCTGTTGAACTCAAACAGATTTTCAGTCAGCAGCTGAGCACTTAATTGCTTCAGAGAGGAGCGTCGATAAAATAGGAGTATCCACTGCTTTTCGAATTTTTTCCATCTCACTGCGATACTTTGTTGGGTTTCTAAAGTGATAATTTTTTTTAAGGAAAGAAAGTAGTTTCATAAGTAAAATTTTATATTCACAGAAAACCAAAGTGATAAATGTTAATGAATGACACTACCCTTTCTCCCTGGAGATTTGGATGAATTTGAACTAGAGACATTTTGGTTAAGAGTGCGCTGTGCACTACACACCAGAACTCCTTGACTTAGAATGAAGGAGATTTACTTTTTTTATTCTTCTTTACTTTTATTAGTGTTTTGTTAATTCTTTTCTTTTTTAATTATGCAGTGTCCTGTCACCCCCCCACCCCCATTGATACTATGTTTCATACTTTTAATTCCAGTTTTGATTTTTTACTAACTGTAGTATTTTGGAAAACTCAGGTAACTTCATACCCTCTGTATTTCATCTGTAAAATGAGAATTAAAATGTCTTAACGTTCTTTTTGAGGGGAGCTGATAGTAAGAATTAGAGACCTTTATGATTAGAAAATCTGAATTGGAGAACGTGTTTGTACTCTGAGATGAACCTGAGCTTCTTACCACCTGCTCTTCTATTCTCAGTCTGGATCAGTATCTCCAAGGGATCATGATTTGATGTGTCAGTCAGTAGATAGTCCATTACATATAGAACCATGAATGTAATGTCACCCCTGTCACTAGGGACAGAGGAGCACCATGTTGCTTTCTGAAGCTTATAAACTCCTCTGAATGCCTGATTAGATGTGTCACTCATCCTTTCATGAAGAGAAACAAATTCAAGATGGGCAGAGGAAAAAAAATGCTAGGAGTGCAAACAGTCATTACAAAGACAGAAGAGGAAGAAAAGACCAAAATGGATGTCAGAAGAGACTCTGAAGATTGCACTGGAGTGTAGAGAAGCCAACGCACAAGGAAGAATTCAAGATACTAAAGAGCTGAACAGAAGATTCCAAAAGGCAGCTCGGAATGACAAAGCAAAGTACTACAATG